TGCAGAACCAAAAGACCAGACATGAGTTTGAAATGGTGCTCAATGATTTGACTCTCTGCAGCTGAAAAGTAGCACCGTGTACAATCTCAAAACTATGACATACGAATCTATTATTATATGTGAGTGCACATGTGGGGTGGGAAGGAAACAGAGACAGAAAGAAAGAGAAACAGGGAGAGGCAGAGAAAGGAAAGACTCCAACATCAACATGGATGTAAGTCATTTTCTTTTTAAGATTATTTTTTGCTATCTTGAATTACGTGTATGGGGCGGGTCACATACATGTGAATGCAGGTGCCTACAGAGGCTGGAAGAATGAGATCCCCTTGGAGGTGCAGTTACAGGTGGTTGTGAGTCACCTGCTGTGGGTGATGGGAACTGACTCTCGGTTCTCTGCAGGAGCAATCTCTGAGCCACTAAGCCACCTCTCCAGCCCTATATAAATTAACTTCCAATCCTGAGCTGCCTCTGAGCAGTCACCCTCTCATGGCTTTTCCCACTGACTCCGATGCACCACCTACATGCTTCATCTGGTCTAGGTGGGGTGTGGACGGTCCCTAGGATTGGAAATGATATATTTTTGTATTAGTGTTGAAGAACCTGTATATCATACCAACCAGATTTGCAAAGGTCATATTTTCCGTCTTTACTTGGGAAGGTGTTCCACTGGTCAGTAACAAAGCTTCAGGGAGGGTAAGCACATCCCAGGCCGTGTTTACCACTTTGCACCGTGCCTTTGCTTAGTCTCAACTTGCTGAGAAAGTTCAATCCACACTACTCAGTGCAACAACATAAGTACACAGAGAAAGGTGTGGCCAAAATAAAATTATCTTTTAATTAACATTCCCCTATGGAACCCAAGACCTTGCTTGTGATTCCACTGAGCCACCCCTAGCCTCAATTCATGTAAATGTTGATTGTTGTTTTAGTTGCATATTCTAATCTGTATGTGTTAACAATACACTACATTAAACTTGTATTCTATAGCATATCTACTGAGGGAAAACAACAGTTGTAGATTCATGTGATACTTAGAGTTTATTCTCTTTCTTTTTTTTAATAATTCAATCAAGAAGCTAAGAACATGTTTTCGAATTCACTCAGGGAAGGGAAAAGGGCTTTCTTGTTAGAATCATGAAGTCTAGTTCTTTATAGTCAGAAAACCAGAGACATGGGGCTTTTTAGAGAGACCAAGGCAAGTTCAGATCTTTCTCATGAGGGAAGCCATGTGCTCTGGGTCCAGACACTGAAGTATATACTGGCTGATATTACCCAAAGTCTTCAGAGAAACACACCCATCTAAGCACATGAAACAGGCACAGTCATCTCACGACTTCCAGTCAGCTCTGTCCCACTTTGATACATTTTCCCACCACTAATCAAGTAGCAATGATCACCTTACTTTGAGTTGTTTACACTCTCTGTAGATATTTCTCCTTAGCTACCTCTTACTTCACCCCATAGCTCTATAAAGGAGACACTGCCGTCTTCTTTCACCAAGATGGTGGGCAAGGCTACAGTGTGGGGACGGACTCCCCAAGGTCACACGTGAACAAATAGAAGATCAGAGATCAGGGTCCACTTCTGTCTGGTTCCAATCACTTGCTTTAAAAATCTAGATCTGAACATCTTAATGCTTCTCTATTTCTACTGAAATGACTTCCTTTTTAAAAAAAAAAAAAAAAAGTTTCCTTTCTGCCAAAATGCAAAGTCTTTCTTTGGAGAAAAGTTGAATTCCTCCCAGTGATTAGTGAGTTGATTACAATTTAAGCACAGCATGCAGGTTCTAGGATTATTAAGAGTGCCTTGGAGAAAGAAAGGTCTGTCTTGTGGTATAATGGGTCCCATTTCTAATCCAAAATTGTATGCAATTTCACAAGAGGGATCCTCTGTCAGCAGAGGCATTATCAAAGAAAGGGAGGCGAGGCGGGTTAGTTAGTGGCAGTTAACTGAGAGTTCTGCCCTTTAGCTGTACAAAAGCAAGAAGTCTATTCTTAAGAAAGCTTCCCAAGTCTATAAAACTCTGCAGTTCCCCGTGGTTCCTGGATGTTCTGTCCTGCACCCCGATTTCCATGACAGGTACTGGAGCATGGGGGCAGTGGCAAGGGCTTCTTGGTCTTGGGATTCTACCAGACCCTCCTGAAGAACCCCAGTCTCTGCTTCCTCCACCTTTGAGATGGAAACACCCCTCCCTCAGTTGTTGGCTGGGAATGTGCTACCCGAGCTAAACACTGCTGTCCTGCAGGTTCACTTGCAACAAGGCATGGACATGGCCTTGGGTTCTAGCCAATATATACAGAGTACATAGCAAAGTCTCTCAAGGCAACATCCCTAAGGACCATTGAAAATGATGTGTCTTTTGACTTTCTTCATCCCTTTCCTGTTCCTACTGGCTAAAAGGAGGCCTAAAGCCTCAAGAATCCAGCATCTTCTTGAGCTGTGAGGTAACTATTGCTCCCTGGAACAGCAGCATAGAAAACTGAAGGACCAGACCTCTGAACTGTTGGCTTAGGAAAAAGAATAAACCCTGTTTGTTTTCTATTATAATGTTGGTCCTATTTTAAGTGAATTCACTTTAAGGAAAAACATCAGGCACCAAGTATTGGAAATTATCATATAAAAGGCGCTCATGTGTGGTTCCAGAATCAGTCCCGAGCAACACTGTGTACCAGTGATAAACTTCTTCCCGGCCTTCTGGGCTGTGTCCCATTCTAAGCAGCTCGGTTCAAAGCCCATCAATCTGCCCCACTCCCTCTTCCTCCTACCCACTCCAAGTCAGACGGAGTAGACTGTCAATGCAGTAACAGAGGGCCAGATGTTCAGAGCGCTAAGGGGTGAAAAAATGAAAAGAGAAATGATTTTTAAAATACCTATCTCCCCACCTTTCCTTCTGTTCCCTGGAACTAGGCAAACATTCTGCCCAGCTTCTGAAAGTCTCGCCCTGAAAGTTGATCATACTTCTTGAAAACTTTCATTCTGATTTTTCTCTCATTGTGCCAAAAAAAAAAAAAAAAAAAAAACGAAATGCTAGGCTCTGAATAAAAGGATCTCCTGTTCCATATGTGCCGTCCCCCGCACAATCCAAAGCTGACTTTCCCAGCCATCAGTAACAGCAGAGCAGGTGGCACAGGGAAGCCACAGAAGTAGTGTTTAAAAAATCACCCCTGACCTCCGCAAGAGACAAAAACAGAAACCAACTCATGCAAGTGAAAATCAACCTCACAGAGGTTCCAAAGCCCCAACATCGAGCCAATTCATGGAAGTGAAAGGCAACCTCATAGAGATTCCACAGACCCAACACCAAGTCACCATCAGTGTTGTGTTTGAGAGAATGAGATCAAGTTTTAGAAAACCATCCAGGCTGTGCCACTGGCCTAACTTGTCGCCACCAGCAGAGACTTGACAGTCCTTCCATGTGCTGCATAAAATTGAGGCTCCAGGTCTTAGCAGAGGAGGCTGGAAACTTCCCCTGTCTCACATCAGAACTCAGTGAGAGCCTTCCGCTTAGGGTAGCTGAAAACATACGCCAGGTGCATTTTGTGCACATTCCAAAGCCACCTCTGATTGCTGGGGTCTTTTTAATTTTGCCTGCAGAGTAATGATGCAAGGCAAAGTTATCCCTGGGCACTAAGTCACACCTCAGGCTACTCCACACCCATAGGTTTTCTTCTCCAGATTTAAGGCCAGTTCACAGGGTAGAAGACATCAATTTGACCCTGAGGATACCTGTATTCCCAACACCTGGGAGACTAATACAGGAAGACAGAAGAATACCCAGTTCAAGGTCAGTCTGGACACAAAGGGAATCTGAGAGAGAACAGGGATGGGGGAGGTAGGAAGGGGAAGAAAAAGGTAGGAGGGGCATGGAGGTTGGGGGAGGAGAATCACTTCTGACTAAACCTAACCACACCTGTCCTAAAGGGAGGAGGGGGGACAAACCAGTAAATTCAAGAGGCTAAGGGGGTCAGAAGTAGAAGACCAGTGTTGAACAGAGGCAAAGCCTCGAATGTATGCCCTGGTAAACAGATGCCCTCAGTTCCAGATGATCGATCCAGCATCAAAGTAGTCAGTATTCAACAAGTTGAAACCGTGTGTGTGTGTGTGTGTGTGTGTGTGTGTGTGTGTGTGTGTGACAGAGACAGAGAGAGACAGAGAAAGACAGAGACAGAGAGACAGAGAGAAATTTACTAACTATTTATGGCATTCTAAGGGTTAAACAAGGCCACATCTTTAGAGAATCCATTTAAAATTTATCTTTTCTGCTCTCCCATTTTTTGTGTCAGAGCCTCTCTGGCACAAAGCAAGCACTCTCCTGAGCTATTTCTAAGCCCACAGTCCATCTTGTAGGCACAAACCCTAGAGATAAGAGAGGCCACCAAGTCTCTGATATTTGATTAGGCACCCCTGGTTGAAATCATGGCTCTCAAGAACTCAGGTAAGCAGTCTCTTGGAGTACTTCTTGTGCCTCCTCAGATGTTAAAAAGGGCAACCTCAAACAAGATCCCAGAGGCACCCCATCTGGAACCACCCCTTTCAAAGAGAGAGGAGGCTCAGGGGAAACCACAGTTGCTTTTCTAGGGGGATGTGCCATCTGCAGAGGAGGCAGCCACCTGCAGAGACCTCTGCAAAGCAGGGGAAAGAGGCAGAACCTCCTACTGAGAGGTTAGGGAGAGTTATGAGCAAGAAAGGGCTGGAATTAGGAAGGAAGAGGTTCCCTCCATACACAAGAGTCCTTGAAGACATCTCATTTGTTAAGTAGGGCTGGCGATCCCAAGAGAACGCTCAGATAGCAGAGGGATGGATGCACCGGCCTTTCCTGGATGGTGCATCATCGGCCCAAACACACACCCCTTAAAAGGACCCTTTAGTGGTGAAGGATTCCTAGCCTGGGAGGTCACTCTGACAGGCAGGATTACTTCACTCTGCCTAACTCGGCCTCGTCTGTGAAGCCTGTTTTACCCTCTTCCCACCAATGGCATCCACAAAGCCACAGAGCCTACCTTGACACTGGAATCCCTGCTTCCCGAAGCCCCTGTAAAAGCAACAAGGAGGATTATCAGTCTGAGGGGGTCCGGTTACCAGCTAGTTTCATACGGTCACCCCCCCTCCCTTCCCACTGTCCCTCTACCCCAGGGACAACTTCCTAGCTACAGCCCGATCTCCAAGGTGTCTTCCACCTTGGGTGGGATTGGGAGGTACACTACGGGAGCTTAGCAGTAACCCCCACCACACATCTCCCCTGCAGTACAGAGGAGACTACGACCACCAGGTGGCGGGATGCGAGGGTGCATTTCCGTCCGGGTGGAGGCGGAAGGCGGGCTGGATATATGCCCAAGGAGATGTCGGAGTACCCTCAAGGAAAGAGAAAAGGACCTGTCTAGAGGGAGGATGAGAGGGACTCCACCGCGGTGGTGTTTCTGATGGACTAGGAGGGTGGAAGGTCTCCCCATGTTTGGAGGGGCAAAGGGAAGAAAGGGGCCCTGCAGCGACGTGAGGGTGAGGACAGAGGAATGAGAGAGGGGCCCAGGACTTTGGAGGCGCAGTAAGAGATAACCCAGGGCTCTGCTCTAGGGACACAGAGGGAAGGATGCTCCACGCCCCGGGGAAGTAGAGGGCACCCCAGGGAGCTGCCCTGGAAAGGAGGGGTGAGGGTGAGAGCGCCTCAAGCCCGGAAGAAGGCAATAAAGATCGGGAACCCCAGGCGAGAAAGACACCCGCGGAGCTGCCCTCCCGAGGAGGGACAGCCACACTGCGCTCTGAGCCAGGTGTCAAAAAGGTGCCTGCAGCGCTGTCCCTAGGCGCTCTGGCGACAGAGTGCAAGAGGACAGGAGGCACCTAGCGGCCAGCCGTCTGGGACCAGGACCCAGCACCTGAGGGATTGGCCATCCGGGAGCGCAGGGCAGAAGGGTCCAGCGCGATGGGGATAATCACACTGCTCCTCCCCCCGGGGGCAACAACAGGGGTCCCCATGCGTGTCGCTGCCCTCTGGGGCCCCAGGCAGGTGGCCCGCGCGGCGCACTCTCACCAGATGAAGTCGGTGCAGTGGCTGCAGAAGGTGGGCTGCTTGAAGAAGCGGGCGGTGAATTTGTGGTTCTTCACCTCGTGCACGTTCTTCTGCCGGAGGGCGCCTTTGCGGGCGAAGCGCACCGTGCTCTCCTCGCCCTCGCTCGGCGGCGGCCCCGCAGCCGGGTCAGCCATCTTGCGCGCGCGGGGACTGGGGGGAGCCCCGAGAGGTGGCGGCCCCGGGGCGGCGGGACCGCGGGGCTGCAAGCCCAGAGAGGCGCGGGACTAGGCGGCCGCTGCTCCCGCCCGGGGACCGCAGGGCCGCGCTGCCCCTTCGCGCCGGCTCTGACAGCGGCCGCGCGCGCGTAGCTGGGCTGTCACTCGCCCAGCTGCTGCCGCTGGTCCAGCTGTGCTTGGCACCGCTGGCCCCAGCTGCGGGGGAGGGAGGCGGAGCCTCAGTGTAACCCCGCCTCCCTCATTTGCATGGAGCCCAGGCCCCGCCCAGAGCCGCCAGCTGCCTTACATATCAGCACCACCAGCACACACACACACAGACACACAGACACACACACACACACATACACGTACACCGCAACCCGCAGGCCGCCCAGTCAAGTCTTCTTAGCCGCAGCGCTGCGGCGGGAGGACCGCAGACTGCGCTGGACAGATCTGAGCCGCGCCCCTGGCACTCTGTCCTAGGCCCTGGGGTGCGTCAAGATGAGCACCTTGGGTGCCTCAGCAAGGACCGAAAGCCTAAAGACCCGAAGGGCTCAAGGAGATCAGGACTGAACAGGCTGGACACAGCCAGTTTCACCCTGGCCTCTGCAGAGACTGGTACCCAGCACCCTCCATCCATCATCCCATTGGTCATTCTGCATGCGTCTCCTGGAGGGATGGGCTTTCATTGTCACTCATCCGGAAAGGCCTGTGGCCACACACACACACACACACACACACACACACACCACTGTCTGCAGAGATAGGGGAGGGGCATATATGTATATACTCCACAATGACTTGCCTCTGCTTGCTCGAACCCTTAAAAGAGAACTCTCTCCACAAAAAGACACTTTCCCCAACTGCAAAATGTGACTGGGCTAATGATGAGGGGAGACAAATTTAATAAATGAGTGTTTGTAGCCGTCCATGGGCGCTGGACGGCTACAAGTGTTTCCCTAAATTTCATTCACTTCGGTCTCTTCTGGTCATACTTGTGCAGTCTATTAAAACAAAAGTCTGTGTGATTGGAAGTACCTAAGTTTATGTAGTTAAGACCTCCCCAGATGCTGTCCTCATACCTGAGGCCTTCTTTTATTTGTTAGGAGAGATTTCTAATGTTGAGGGAATATTAATATCCAATGCTACACTCCCCTGGGTGCAACCTAAAGGATGAGAAGGTAATGAATGGTACGACACTGGGTGTTATATAAGGGACTGCACCTAAATCTTCCTCTGCCGTGATGCTCTACACTCTGGGGGTGGAAAATGGCATCCGACTGAACTCTTCCAAATGTCCCGGGCATTGTCAATGACACCTTCATGTCTCCTGGTGTCAAGTTTAGCATCTGACACCTCCTACAAGCCCAGTGAGTACTGCACGATTAAATAACAGAGTGGAGGAAGGTTACCTGTACCATGACCTACAAATGTGCAAAAATAAAAAATAAACATACAGCATTAGTACTGGGTGTCAGAGAGGCTTGTGCACAGTGTCATTCAGTCATGACCACAATCTATATAGACATATAAGTTCTGTGAATAAGCCTAGTTAGATGAGAGTGACTAAGGGGTACACAGAATCTCAGGGTTGTGGAATGGTGGCTGTCCTGACTACAAAGCTCATTGGTGACAAAGGGGTGGGCCTCTGTAGTGACAGAGCTTGGATACCAGTCTGACAATTCCGATTGGGAGCTACCGAGTGGTGAGTCACAATGCGGTATCCAACAACTGCATGGTGAGCCATACCCATGATATTACAGTGTCCTCCTCCTACATAGTAATGCAAAGGTAACAAGGGGGAAATAGCACTCACTTTTAAGGTTGGCATGTTTGGGAAACTGGATGTCCCTGGCTATTCTTAGTCTTTTGAGAGGACCCAGCACCTCCCAGGGAGACTTGGGAAAACATCCCAGGAGACATTGCTGCTGAAGGAGATTTCCTTTGAAAGATGAACTAAAGGCTCACAGCCCACATCCTGTCTTTTGAACCAAGTGCTCTGAATGACTTTGGTCTGTAACAACAAACTACCTCATGGTGTCTAGGCCTGGAGCCGCAAGGGCTGCTGTCCTAAAAGCCATTCCATTCCTGGAAGAGCTGTGTGAAAAGCGGCTAGGGAAGCAGGTTCCAATCGGACCCAGGTCTCTATAGCTTAGAGGTCAAATTGTGGCCTTTGAATACTGTTTTGTTTTGCCAGCTCAGTGATCTTCCTTCCTTTTTATTGTTCACACTATAGTATTTTACCTAAATATCCAAGTTATAAGTTCTTTGCTGGGGGAGACATTATTCAATGGAGCTTGCATTTCTGACTTCATTCAACAAAAATTCACTGCACACTTGCATGTACTATTCCAGATGCGAAAATAAACCAAATAAAAAAGGCTCTGCCTTCATGGAGCTTATATACCAATAGATGAGACTGAGGAATGATAATCTATCAATTAAAAAATCTCTACAGAGTGGTGTGAAAAATCTGTCCTGTAAAGAAAAATAAATCATATAAGCATAAATTATAAATTTTGAAGAACCAAAAAAAAATAGCAGTGTCCAAAGAAGCCCTTTATAACTAGGTTCATCTGAGAGAACGCTTCAGTAAAGTGATGGTGAGCAGCCATGGTCCTGTCTGAGGCTAGAATTTTCTAAATAGACAAAAGAACAAATGCAAAGGACCTGGGGCAGGAGCCAGCCTGTTGTGCTGGGCAGAAGCATGGTGGCCTCTGTGTCTGGAATAGAAAAGAGGCAGCAACTGTTAAACAGTGAGACATGGCCTGATACAACACAGGTTCTTCTTAAAGATCGCCCTTGGTACCACATGGAAAATGGGCTTTAAACAGAGAGAATGGAGGCAGAGAGAGCAGAGGAGAGTCCTTTGAAAAGATGAAGCAAGGAAGGACAACATGACATGGTACTCCACAAGCCTGAAGAGCAGAAGATTAATGTGTGTGTCCAAGTCACCAGAGCCCCTATTCTGGTCACCTCTACCCATTTAGGAGTAAATGCTGGGCATTTAGTAGACTTAGACATGGCAGGTTGTCCCGGATTGTAATGGAGCCAAGATCTCTTCAAACCAGAGGTCAGTCATAATGCTAAGTACGTGGATTCTACAGCAGCCAAACAAAAATATCACAAAATAGAGTGGCTACAGATAGAAATGCATTGCTTGTTACATTTAATAGAGGGTAAAAACTCTAAATCAGAGACTAGAGAGATGGCTCAATAGTAAAGCATACTTGGTGTAAAGGACCTAGGTTCAGGTCTCAGCACCCACATGTTGGCTTACAATGCTATAACTCCAGTGTCAGGAGTTCCTACAACCTCTTTGACCTACTCAGGCACCAGGCACAAACATACATACAGGTACACATACATGCAGGCAGGCACAGCACTCATACACATAAAATAAAAATAAATCAATCTTTTAAAAAGTTTTTTAAATTTCTAAACCAATGTATCTCAGGGCCACATTCCCTCTGGAGGACTCAGATAGGAAACCCTTCCTCTCTGTCCCTGCTTCTGGTGGCTGTCACTGTCACATCTCTCTCTGCCTTCATGTTCCTATTCCCTAGTGTGTCTCTCTTCTCTCCTGTCTTACTTCCATCTGTGTGTCTTACGAGAACATTCACTGCTCATTGGACTTCAGGCCCACCCCATTAATCTGAATGATCTCTTTATCCCAGTATCCCTGTGTTAATTACATCCAGGAAGACTTTTTCTAAAGAAGATACTATTTGTAGGTGACTCTGGAGAAATGATGCCTCAGGCATCAAAGACTGGCTTCACAAACAACAAGACAAGATGCCATTTATAGATTGTGGGAATTGTGACAGGGGCATATGGAAGTGGGTACCATTCAAGCCACCGGGCTGCCTAACTCAGCCAGGTCAGTTCCCCTCAGTGTGTCCTGGTTTCCTTCTCTATTAAGTTGTGTGAGAATTCTGTGCTCCATCCTAGAGCTGTATACTCGCCACGTGTGATCGTTGAGCAATTGAAATTTGGTTGGTCTGAACCGATTGTTAAGAACAGTCACCCAAGTGATTACGTGAGTCAGCACCCTAAATTCAAGCCTGGCTAATGAAAATGAATGTAACATAGCTCATAACATTCATTTTCATTGCATGCTGAAATTTTACATGTTTATATATTGATGAGTTCCAGTACTTTTATATAATCGAATTTCTCCCCAGAAGTAATTCAGTCTGATTGCTTTTATTTTTTGCAATGTAGTTACTAGAAAATGTAAAACAGTGTATGTGGATCACACCATATTTCCTTGCCCAGCTCTGTTCTAAAGAATGGATTAAGTTAATTTTAAAATGGATAAACTGGAAGCACCTCTATTCCATATGGCACCAGCAGTGGCTGCATGACAGGAAGCTGAGGTATCCAACTTCAAACTTTCAGATTACTTGGCAATAAGTAAGCTTGCAGGCTGTCAGCTGCAAGCTCACCCAGGGCTTTAACAGGGAAGCTGGCTACCCTTCACGTGTGCCTCACCACTGGTTGCCTGGGTTTCTTCACAGCATGGTGGCCAACTCTAAGAGTCAGTTCTCCCAAGGACCAGAAATAAAGGGTTACATTTCCCTGACGTCTGACCTAGAATCCAGGACAGCAGCATCCTTGATATAAGTTGTTGGTCAAACAGCCACAGAACCCACATTCAAGGAAAGACTATTTCTCAGTGGAAGAGATTCAGAGAATTTAGAGGGCACATAGGAAGATTTGGAATGGTAGATTTTTTACTGAATTAATAAATCTCAAGGACTGGAGAGATGGTTCAGCGGTTAAGAGCACTGACTGCTCTTCCAGAGGTCCTGAGTTCAATTCCCAGCAACCACATGGTGGTTCGCAACCATCTGTAATGGGATCTGATGCCCTCTTCTGGTGTATGTCTGAAGACAGCAACAGTGTACTCATATATATAATAAATAAATAAATAAATAAATAAATAAATAAATGTATAAATTTTTTTAAAAAAAAAAAAGAAAGAAAGAAATCTCAAATTCTCATTTGAAAACAAACTTGCAAATGCTAGGTGTCTTTTCAAGGTCACCATAAAACTAACAACTACATTGAAAACTAGTATTAAGATGCAGTAATTCAGAGAAGTAA